TGCTAGAACTATGTTATAATGGGTTTTGTTTCCAGTCCAAAATTTGGGAAATTTGACTTTCACTTCTTTTTAGAAAGGATATATCACAAAACCCAGAACTACTATCTGCTTCAAGTTGCATTAAAAATTGTTTCAGGTAAAAGCTGTTCCCAAAATTTTTCCTACAGTCAACTAACGTTTGTTAAAAGGTTTGCAACTTAACAGATTTTATCAATTCCCTTGTCTCTAGTAGCTTTTGCTTTCTTAGTTATATTTTACTCTTAACTACATTTGGATATTTCATCTTAGGTTACTAATGAAAAATATCCAAACTAAATAAGCACAACTATACAGTATTGTGACAATACCTGAAATGACTAGTTAACATGACTTCATCCACCACAGAGTATTTGCATAAGCTTATCAACAAGTAGAGAAAATCACATTTCTTTCTTATTTTTTTATGCTTGAAACTAAAAGTCTTAAGATTGAACTGAAATAAAAATAAATCACAAAAAGTAATTACACGTACATACCCCAAAACATAACATTACAATTATGTAAACCAGACTTCTATACTGAAGACAATAATAAACAGAAAATTTTCTCACCTTTACATTTTTCACAGATGCGGTCCACAGATGCAGGCAAACAGGTTACATCAGTATTAACCCACATGGCCAGCAAGCATTTACTTTCATCAACTGATAAACGTGAGTCAACTTCAATATAATACTTCTTTCCAGAAAAAATGGATGACAGAATGTCAGTGTTTTTAGTTGTAATCATCACTGGACATCCTATATCAAAAGCTTTCAAAACAAAATCATCCCAAACATCATCTAAAATAAACAAAAGCTTCTCTAAACAAGGCCGAAGAACAAGTCTCCTAAGGGTATTAGACACCTTTTCTATAGTCTCAGGTACAGGATAACTTTCATCATCTAGCTCTTCACAAAGTGACTGCATCTTGACCAGAAGCCCTGCTGGATCTACCTTACCTACTGGGACCCACCAAACCCCACTAGAGAAATAGTGAGCAAGAAGGAATTCATCCCGTATAGCCTCTGCAGCAAGAGTGGATTTTCCAGAACCTAGCATACCATGGACCACAACCCAGCCTCGTGTCTTTTCAGCTACATCTTGAAGAGCTTGTCTAATTTTTTCTTTTAACTCTTTCCTTGGCAGAAGGTGATTAAGCTGAAATGGTACACCTCCTTTTCGAAGCACATTATACACACTTACATCAAAATCCATTGAGACTTTATTATTGTTCACTGAGGCCAGCAACCTTTGTGCAAGCCAAGGGTAAGCTTCTTTGCTATTTAAAGCTTTTATAAAGCTGCTAAAAGCCTGTTTTCCTTTCTTTGGAAGAAGAGACAAAAGTTTAACTGTCTGGGTTTTACTATTTGCCTAAAAAAATAAAAAGATCAGTATTTATTAAAATTATAACTCAAAAACAAATAAGTAACAAGCTAAAAAGGTATTGCCTTGTGCACAACTTAAAAGTTAGATATAACTATCATTAACAGTTATGAAACTCTATAAAAACTATAGGCTCACAATTAACTTACTAATTTAATCAACACTTTTGAGTCAAAACAAGGATTAATACAGTCAAAATCTATTCCCACATCCTACAAAATGCTATGACTAACAAACAAAAATGTTTATCCCCACTAGAAATCATCAACCCATGTTCCCATTCTTGTTCATACTAAAGTATTTGACAACTCAATAATTAGGTCAATTATTTAATGTATTTTCTCCATATGTGAGAAGGTATTAATTGACCTAATTATTCATTAATTAATTAAACCCCAGTAAACTAATGAGTAGTAAATATAATGATAATGACTAAGTTGCTTTTGTCTAACCTTCCTGATGCTCTACTGTTATAAACATGTCAATCTTGACAGTTTCACATTCTTTATTGGAATGAAGAAATTCCTAGCTCTTTCCTGAGCTCTTTCAACAAGGCACAATACCAAGATCTATCAAACCATAAGGAATACAGCAACCCACACTTTCAACAAGGCACAATACCAGGATCCATTAAACCATAAGGAATACAGCAACCCACACTTTCAA